TAAAACATATGACGCTCTATTCTTTCAAGTTTTCTTCAGATGCGCTCAGCCAACAACAGCTAAACCATTCATTCCTCAAACCAGTGTTCTCACTTTAAACAAATCCCCTCCGCTCAGTGATTTATCCTCTTGGTTTTGGTCACTTCCTCAAACTAATTCCATCAAAGTTGACTCTATCAAAAACACATCCATACATAGATAAGCCAACAAGAAAGAATCCTATTGATAGATAGATCATAATTTTTGTCCAAATTCCACCAAAAGTGCCTTTTTTGCGTAACACTTAATCTCTCATCTTCATCTGACAGTAAGAATCGCCTTAAACTGAGATTTCATATTTGATTTATACTCACTCAGGTAATAGTCTCTAGGTGACTTAGGCTTAAGAATGCGATTTTTATGTATCCGATGAAGAAAGGAACTCCTATTATACAGAATGTGTACTTGTGAATGTACTCATAAAAAAGAGATTAGTTGTATTTAAACTAAATGAAGCTTATCCACATTGCACTGAGTTATTCGTGATAATTAACGATCGTTGATTGAACACAAACTTCTCAATGAGACTCCAAACTGACTGACTGATCGGAGATAAAAATGCAGAGAGACCGAATGACTATTAAAGTGAAATGAAACAAAGAGAATGGCATAGAACACTTCACAATTAATGTTGAAAGAATGCTTCTGAACAGGGATGTTACTCTATCAAAAAGGAATTGTACTCCTTTTACTGTAGTGGACCAATACTGAGTACAATATCATTGGCTGCCATCAACCATAATAGATAATGATCGAGCTGTTGTGTAAGTTCTTGAAAAGTATTCGTTGTTTCAGACGAGACACTCGAAACTTGCATGCGATTATCGAAAAGATTCAAGGCGCAAGGCCTGGAAATGCGATGTGCTCGATATATCCAAGAGAATGTGAGTAGTTTCACACGAACCTGTGATCAACTCCTCAAAATTGCATCATATAAAGCCGATGAAATGAAACATATTCTCAGCAATCACTTCGTAATAACCTCTATAAAGGGGCATAAGTGCCCAAATTACAAATCGACTGTGCATGTGAACAAATCTTAAGGTAAATAAAAAATCACCAATGGTCGCGTTGTGCTGGTTGAATTGGGTGTTGAAGCATAAATTCGATCGTGCCTCTCATGACGCATGTCTACCGTGTGTTGCCAGTGCTTCACTTCAGTGTCTCGAACAGCACCGTAATATGATCACAGAGAAACTATTGGCCGATTTGCTGGCAGCTAAACTCAGGATGCTCTATGATCAGGTTTGCTTACTGCTAAAAAACTGATTCATCGCTATTTATACCAGATTCAACGGAGAATTTTAAGCCTAAGCCTTGGAATATAATCTTACAAAAATTGCCTACGCACTTAATGCACCAGAATCAATTGCGACAGCACTGTCCGATTACGCTTTGAATATGTCATTGATGTGCTTTTCTATAAGTGACCTGCTCGTATGACATATGCCTGCATTGCAAAGTAACATTTTTAAGAGGTTCAAGCGATAAAAGTTTTTTCGAAGAAACAATTGGATAGTTTTGCAAAAACGTTGTGACAGTACGATATGTTCGATATATTCATGAAAAAGTGAAATGAGTAGTTTTACAAAAAGTTGTGATCAACAGCGTTAATTTCATTCGTAAACAATACGACCACTAATAAGTTGTGCTGGAATACGCTATGCAGAACGAAAAATTCACTTTCAGCAATCTTATTTTGATTTACATGTGAATGAATCTTGCAAAATTTTAGTAAACTGTCGTGATGCCGATGTATAATTCCCTGTGATTTCATTCTAGCTTCTTAAGTGAGAATATATTACAGCCAGAAACTGCCAGTGTTATAGCATGAAATGTTGTTGCAATTTTAGAGCACAGAACACTCTTATATTTCTATGGGGTGAGTGGTGCTGATTGGGAAATGAGAATTTTAGTGTTCAAGTTAATTATTATCTAGTCAAATGGAATAATGTACATACAGGGCGATAGAATATTCATGATTAGTGTAAATATAATGATATGGATAAATTTTGATTTAGAGTGAAATGAATTGTAGCTAACTGCGAAATTGAAGACTTATTCGATATTAATCACGAAATTAAGCAAAGGTGTTGTAAGCCAATGATCTTTCGCAATAAATAGTGATCACTGATTTTAATGTAAGCGAATAGATCCATAGCGATCGGCATAACGAACATTCCACAACCAAGCAATAATTAATACTCGTCGCTATAATTACTTTGCATATTTAAACACAGCTAACTGGAAATCCAGTAGCTGATCGCACTTACGATGAGCATTTTATCGATCGCTTAGAGCGATCGGCAAACAACTGCCCAGAGCCCAGTGTCCGATTAAGTGCAACTATCTTAATTCTAAGTCACAATCTAATGAATGAGCCTTTCAATATCTCTCGAATGAACAACGGCATGCATGCTTACGTTGAACAAGCGAGTATAACTGAAAATTCACAGGAAATAACACTGACGGGTTTTCGTCTCATCATAGCATCTTATTTTGTCACCTGAACTCGATCAAAGTGTTTTCCATG